TTTTTTGGTTTTTTTTTCAAACCAAAAAAAAATGTTTTTATTTTCAGTTTTTTAAACCAAAAAAAAATGATTTTATTATTTTTTTTAAGTGTCACTTAATAAATCACGTGAGTAAAACTTCACGCCAGCGACTCTTGGAGTCGCTAGCGTGACAACTAATTTAGTGACGAATAAATATTCATATAATATATGTGACACTCAATAAATCACGTGAGTAAACTTCACCCATCGTCGTTTTTTTCTTTCAACAAAAAAATTGATTTTATTTTTTTTTTATTTTTCAACCTGAAAAAAAAATTGATTTTAATTGGTTTTAAACCGAAGTGTTTTTTTTTTAATTTTTTTTAAAAATATATTATTTTTTCGATTTCTTTAAGCTGAAATTTTTTTTTATTGTTCATTTTTTTATTTACTCATTAATTATTAAAATAATTAACCCAAAAAAACTTTTTGCTATTTTTTTTTTGTTTGTTATTCGTTTTTCATTGTATTTATTTATTTATATTACCACTGAATGTATCTAATTTACTTAAATACAGAAACTTATTAAACCTGTTGCAACGCAACAGGTTACAGCTAGTTCTTTCTAATCATATATTAAAAAATGTTATTGCATTACTAATTATATGCACATAACTAATTCCAACAAAAGAGCGTGGCACTAGCATGGCCTGTTGGCTTTTTAAGGAGAAAAGAAATAGTAAAACGGATCTGAAGATAATATACTATACGTGTTACAATGTTCACTAGATCGTGTCTGTTTATGCACACGATCAATGATCTTCATATACACGGACATAAGATGCTTAATGATATTTGGTTAAATAAGCAGACCTAAGGTTCCATTTAGGGTAAGGTGATATAAGAAAAAAAATCATGAAGACATCTACCGGCAACTGTATTATGTTTCTCGTGTATTTTGCTTTAAATTAGGTGATTGAATTTAGTAAAAAAAAATAAATATTTTTTATTCATTCATTTATTATGTTTGTTTAAAATTATGAATAGAAAATTTTAATATTCGTTATCAATTATACCGAAAAATGTAACATTAGAAATATACTAAAATCATGTTCGCTTCGGACCTTCTAACGGTTCCCGTCAATAGTATTATGTATTTCAGATATTGCATTATTTATGGAGCTAAATGATTGGATGAAAAAAAGCCAATAGTTTATTTTTTTTATCAGTAATAAAAATAATTTTTTTTTCGATATTAAACTGTTCGGATCCAACAGATATAGTGATCATCCATTGATGTTTTTACAAAGGGAATCAAGCGCAGAAGAATCAATCATCAAAATTACCAATTGAAAGGAAAGTGAAGCACTTGAGGAACCTTCCTAGAAAACGTCTGGAAAATGTTTGGATAATGAGGATAAATTCCTAAAATGTACCATATATCGAAATTAATTTTAAAATAATCACTGTTCTATTATTATTCAAAAGTTCAAAAAAGGGATTAAAGAACGGAACTTATTGTATATGTTCTATGTAAGCACTGGACATTTTTCACGTATGTTATTGATCACTTTATAATAGCGATACACAAATTTTGGTCACTTTATAATTAGTGATATACAAAATTTTGATCACTTTATTATAAATAAACAGTCATGTTTATGATTTATGATATATATAGTAATCCTTGTGGTAAATCAGTTATCACTACAACTTATTCATTTTTTGTTTTTGGAAATTAATTATCATAATAAATAAACATAATCGTAATAAAATTTTGGTAAAAATAGAATCAATATGTTTGGCAAAAATATTCATTCCGAAAGGAAAGAATTTTGGATTTTATTAAACAACGAAAAGAAAAAAAAATTTTTTTAAACAATGAAAATTAGCAAAAGTGATGCGGCTAAATTTTTTTTTTTTTTTAATGAATAATACAATGAATAATTTCTATTTTGGGAAATTTTTTTTGCAAACCCTTTTTATTTCTAATCTTCCGATAATATTTTACGAAAGCGTAATTTGATTGATTTTTTTTTCTGATTTCATGCGACTTTGTATTCTGAAAGAAGAAAAGGATTTTTAATCAAAGAAGAATAACAAAGAAAGAATTTTAATGACATTTTTGAATAGATTTTTTTTTTTTAATTGAAATAAAAAGAAAAGGAATAAACAATGAATTTTTTTCTTATAATGGTTATAATGGTGTAGTTAGCCGAAAAATTCGGCCGAAGACGCAGTAAATTTTCGGCTAACAACACCCAGCCGAAAAAATTCATGTTGATCTTAAATATTATTTTGGTTTAACTTGCGAAATTTGGCGTTCAATCATAATAAATGAAATAAAAAAAATCGTTTCAGAACTGTTATTTAATATTGTGATGTTTGATAATAAAAAAAAAATATTTAGGAACATTTTTTTATTATATTTTTCTTTATTTGTAATTCATTTTTGGTTCATCTAAAAATATCCTTTGTCATGGTTTTAAAATGAACTAAACTAAGTAATAATCGATTATTTGTTAAAAAAGAATTGGTTAAAAACGATTCGTGAAGATCTTGCTAAAACATAAAATTCATTTTATTACAAATACTATATTATTGGATGGGCCAGGGGGATAATATAGTTATTGAGTATGATATATACCTCCCGATGTTGTATAGTATAGTGTAAAAAAAACTATACTGTATAGATAAAAGCTATACTGTATAAATAAAAAATTATACTGTATAGATAAAAACTATACTGTATAGATTTTCGTCAACTATACTATACAACATCGGAGGTATATATCATACTCAATATCGTTTAACCGGGCCAGGGGGGAGGCGATATTAATTTATTTAGTTATATTAATTATCTCGAAAAAAAAAATAATAATTTCGAATGTTACTGAGGCAGTCAATATATGACCGTAATTTATTAATTTTAAAAAATAGAAATAAATTTATTTAAATGAAGTCTTTAAAATATAATTTATAAAATAATCCATACATTCATTCCCAATTCATAACTATAAAGTATTTGACGCTTTCTTTAGCAGAAAATGTTTATTTGAATAATTCATAAATGTAATTTCATGAAATATTATTTAATGTGTTATATAGAGGGAAAATACATAATAATGGCTCAAAAAATATAATTAAAAGTTAAATGACTCCGTAGCACGCTACCAATTTTTTCAACAGAACGATATAAATTTCACTAATTAATATGTTTCTTAATTATTTTTATTTTCTTTAGTTTAACACGTGATCATGCCAATGCATGACGAAAAAAAAACATAATTTCGTACGTTTCAATATAACTTTAAAATTTCAAAATTTCTCAAAAATGATATAATCCATGATATATTAAAATGGCCAAAATGAATGATTGCACTTACGTTACTTTGAAGAATTCTTCTACTTTGCATATTTTTGTATCTTTATCGAATATGCCATACGAGAGAGCGAAAACCTTATTATAAAATGTAAAACGTTCATTAAATAAATAAACTCTAAATCAGATTGACGTCCAAAGAACGCATATAAAGAGTAAAAAGAAAAAAATAGAAATTTTTCTGTGAAGTGAAAAACCACTAAATATTTTCTCATATAAGCGACACGAAGTGTGTTGCACGTTTATTGGCTCATAGTAGTACTAGGGCAGGCTCTGGTTGGTCCCTTCTTTAACAAAAATTATTTTTTTATCTTTCATTAAAAAATTTAAGGTTGTAATATTAAAAAACATAGTCAATTTTGACGGTGATTAGATAATCCGTCATATTATTCACTAAGATATTTTCTTTATTAATAAAGCTATTATTTTATTTTTATCAATAGAAGAACGTTTTTATTAATTTTAATAAAAACTGTTTTAATAATTATTATTATTTAACAGTTAATATAACAATATTATTTTTGTTATAAATCTTATTTATTTAAGATACTAAAAGCATTTTTTTTTTTAAAAAAAAAACCAATTCTGATGACTGATGTGTTCTTAATAGGAAAATTTGAATTATGCGATTTAATGATGTGGATTATGGATTATCTCTTAGATTATTCGTTTGATGTGAAATTATGTAAATAAATAAAATCATCGTCCCTGTTCTGGACATACAACGGTTTCCGTTTCCTATAATAGTCCAATGTTTCTAATAGTCCAATGTTTCTAATAGTCCAATGTTTCTAATAGTCCAATGTTTCTAATAGTCCAATGTTTCTAAATAGACACCTATTAATTGGGATCAGAAGATCGGTCATGTGACTAAAAACACTTCTTTTAATTGGTTAAATTTATAATACCGTTAATCAACCGTAGTTAATCAACAGTGGTTAATCAACAGTGATTAATCAACCGTGTATTATTATCACCAAATGGTCTTATAAAATTCTTAAAATGATTTACATAAGAACCTTTAATAATATAAATTACTTTAAACCACAAATTAAATTTTTTTTATATAAGGAGGACAAATCCGTTTTTTTAAAAAAAAAAAAATTTTGTGAAATAGAAAATAGAAAAACATATCTTATTGCCCTTAAATTAAATCTTTCTTAGTCATTATTCTCAATTTTTCATAAATTTTTTTTTTTTTTCTATTTTGATATCTTTCTTGCATCGTTGGTGTATATAAGTATATTATTTCATTATATTCTGGTGTCGTCTCTTTCTTCATTTATAATTCTTCTCTTTTATGTTATATTTTTTAATTCAGATTAGATTTATTTTTCGAATTATTTTTCTCAACAAAAAAAGTTTTTTTTCTTTTAAAATTTTGAAACACGATCTGATTCTTTTTTTTTCAAAAGTTTTTTAATTAATTATTTATTTATTTATTTATTTTTCTTTTTTTTCTCATTCATTTTCCACCAAATTTATTCGATCACGGATTACTCACTTTAACCTTCCGGGTTGGTAAAAATTAATGGTGCATTTTAAAAAAATAATAATAACGGATATTCTTGTTACACACGACACATAAACATATTATCACGTGTTAATAGTACAACAAAAAACGAACTATATAGCTTTTGAGATATTAATATATAGTATGGATTCCACCGATGTTCAAGATGACATTATCATAACGGTTCAAATGCTGTCAAAACTTGTATTGGTCAATTTAAATCTTAAAGCTAGCTTATCAGAAGTTCGTAAGAAGCTTGAAAAAATTAGTGAAGTCAAAATGAACGATACATTTTCATTTGCGATGATGACTGATAATAATAGTAGTACTGGCGGAAGTTTGTTAGCCGTAATAGCAAGAGAAGATGAAGTAAAGATTATTTTAGAAAAAATTATAGACAAAAAGAGTAAAACTTTATATTTATCAGAACCCGATTGGAGGTTTTTTAAAGATAAGAATAAACTAGAATATGGGCGTAGTGTAACTTTAGAAAGAGCCAAGAGTAGAGCATTCACGATAGTGGATTGTGAAATGGATGAAATTGATGATGGATATGAAAAAAGTCAAATTCAAATTAATTCGGACGAGGATAAGCATATAAAAAATGATCGTCTTTTAATTGCAGATATTGATATACCAAATTTTGCAAAATTAGGAGTATCGATTGAAAATTCAAACACCAAAAATTCTAATGTTGCTACTAGTTTAAATTATAATATTATTGAATACAAAAAAAGGTCTTTAAGACTTAAATTAGAACCAACTAAAGAGTTTATTGAAGCAATAAAGGATGTTATAGATTCTAAAGATCCTAGAAAATTTAAGGATATCATAAATGATTTTGGTAAATTTATTCCAAAAGAAATTATTTTGGGTGGAAAAGCTTGCTTTATTGCAAATGAAAACTCTGAAAAAAATTCTAAAAAAAATTCTGGCGAATATTCTGCAAATATAGGTGCTCAGGTATTAAATATGGAATTTGGAAAAAAATCTTCAAGACATTTAAATACAAGCAATTCTTCTAAATATCAAAGTTTTAAATTATTTGGAGGAAAACAATTTAGTTCTAGCAACTTTGATGAGCCAGTTTGGGTTGAATCTTTAAATGATTTTAAATGTTGGAGTTGTATAAAATTTAAAGATCCAGTTAATGTTTTTCAAATTTTACCTGAAGAACTACGTAAACAAATTCTATTATTAGTTGGAAAAAAAATTCTTTATACAAATACTAAATATTATACTTTAGGATTTGGGTTTTCAATTTTTTGTCATCATCCTAGAATTCATCATACTATTAAATTAAACATTCCAAAAAATATTTTAGAAATTCTTCAACATAAAGATACTGAATGCAGTGTCTTTGCAACAGTTAATGATAAAAAAGAAAAAGATATCCTTAACTGTCAAGTTATTTGCTCACAAAATGAAGATCCAAGACTTAAAATTCATTGTATTCAAAAAAAATTTAGAAAGCGTAAATTGATGATTGAATGGAAGATCATTGGTTATGACATAAATTTTGATTTTTAATCATTAAATTGACATTCTAAAAAATGATTTCAATTCATCAAATAATCAATCCAAAGATTATTCAAATTAAGATTTTTATTTATTTAATCAAAATTTAATATTTTATGAAAATTACTGTAAGCAAATTATTCCTTATATATTACACAATTTAAAAAAAAATAAGATTAAGATGTTTATTCATTTGTAAGATATTATATATAAATAAAATCTAATTATGAAATTTATGAAATAAATTTTGTTTACTTAATGCATTTAAAATTTTCAATATTTTGAATTTAAAAGCTCCATTTACTTATTGTATATGCACAATCCTAACTTCAAAATGATTTGTTTTAATAACCATCAAAAAATAAAAGTAAATCTATGTATAGTACTTGAACTTTATAACAAGATATTAAATAGACATAATCATTTCCAACAATATATCTATAACGTTTGAAATTCATCCCAACAATATTGATACCAATTAACTACATACAACAATGAATATAAAGCTGCCACCCAAAATTAGGGAATTTTACCATTTCGAAACCAAAATGGTAAAATTAATTTAGGAAAAATACTTAATTCCGAAATGCCAAAACTATTCCGAAATTCTGATTGGCTGTTGTAATATCACGTGACCAAAGTAAAATTTTTACCAAAATTATAACTGTATTCTAATTCCATAATTCTGGCTCCGTAGTGATCTTCCTGACACGTGTAGATTCGATTTAAGCCTATGTTCGCTTTGTGTAACGTATATACCATATAAGGCAATTATGCGTCTTTATGCACTAATGTTACACAAAGTGAACATAGGCCTAAAACGAAACCACATGTGTCAGGAAGATCGTTACGGAGCCAGAATTATGGAATTAGAATACAGTTATAATTTTGGCAAATTTATAAAGTCATGTGATTTTATAATAGGCCAATCAGAAGTTTCGGACAATTTCGGGAGTTTCGGAAAGATTTCTGGGTTTCGGAATTAGTTTCGGAAACAAAATTCTGGCCGAAATTATTTCGGAATTAGGAAATAATTTCGGACGGCAGCTTAAACAATGATAATGCAAAACAGTAAGTAATTTTCTTTGAATTAAATAAATTTTGAAGTCCTAATGTAACTTAGATAATGTACTTAAAATTATTTTAAATAACAAAGTTTTATTTATTAACAATTCCATAAATCAATGATAATAAAACCCATCACAAACTGAAGCCAAATTCTGTAAATAAATTTTTAGGTACTGTAACTCTTCTAAAAGTACTTAATGTTAACAAGAATAAATTTGAAAAAACTCTACCTATTTCAATAAATTTATAATAATCTTTCATTATTTAGACTTGAATAATCACATAATTCATCATCTGTCATCTGTTATTTTTGGAAATCCGTGATCTGACTGATCTGCCTTAAGCATAGCGGATATCCCTATTTTATCACAATTTTGTTGATCATTTGTTAATCATTTATTTAGTCTTATCATATAATATAAATACCATCTGTATTATTTATCAACAGACAACAGGAAAAAATTTTACTTAATACATGGTAAAAAAATATGAAATAAATAATTTACTCTTATATTTCCAAAATCTAAACAAAAGGATTTGTTCTTTTATTAAAAGTCCATTAATAACAAATAATTAGCTAAATTCTCTATAAGCAAAAAACCTGTATTATAAGCTAAAACCCTATATTATTTTTTTTGTAAATTATATATAATAAAAGAAATGTTTATGTAAAGTTTTAAGTTTCAGCCTTGCATATTTGGCTCTGGCCATCAATTTTTGTCTGGTGATTAGCCAAAATTTCAAATTATCACATATTAATAATATAGTATACAAAAATTAAAGAATTATATTAAAATTATGTAATTAAATTATGTAATAATTAAGGTGTCATACTTAGTGCTTCGATCCAAATGTAAACTATTATCTGGATTACACAAAAAAAAAATCCAGATTCTATCTGGATTGATCCAGATTAATATCTAGGTCAGATAATTCAGATGGAAATCGAAATCCAGATTGGATTTACATATAAAATTTTTTTTGACTGCGGACTAGTTGATGATCCATATAATAAACATCAAATAGCATTCCAACATATTTATTATCAAAAAATTTTAACAAATATTTTATGAAATTTTGATTAAATTAATATTAATATCAATTTAATTTTTAGAATTTATGGCTATACTTTGTAACTTTTACAACTTAATTAAACTTTATGTATGATTAATATTTAATAAAATACAGTATATATGTGATTTTGTTAAATAAACACTATGGCTTTTATTTAATAAGAATCTGGGCTTTTTTTATGAACTTTATGGCTTTTATTTAATAAGGATCTAGGCTTTTTTAATAAATTTTAAGACTTTTATCTAATAAAAATCCAGACTTTTTTAATAAACTTTAGGCTTTTTTAAATAAACTTTATAGCTTTTATTTAATAAGAATCTGGGCTTTTTTAATAAACTTTAAAGCTTTAAATAAATACCATGGTGACTTTTTAAATAAATTTATAGCTTTTGTATAATAAAACATCTATAAAACTTTTTTAATAAAATTTATGGCTTTTAAACTTTTTAAATAAAAATTTATTGCTTTGTTAATTTAAATTGATAGTTATATTAACAAAAAATTATGGCTTTGCTAATAATTATTAATAGCTTTGATAGTAAAATTAATGGCCTTATTAATTTAATGGCTTTTCTGATAAAATTTATGGCTTTGTCAATAAAAATTAATAGCTTTATTAATAAAATTTACAGTTTATAACTCTTTTTAAATATAAATTTTAAGTGAATCCTTGTGACTTTTTAATAAAAATTTGTGGCTTTTTTATTATAATTTTATGGAAAAAACACTATAAATACACTGTAATTAGACCTTAGTAGTTTTTTTTATTATAATTTCATTTCATATCTTAAATATTAAACCCAAATTTCAAATACTAACTATAGCAGATGATAATAGCTATATTTTACCTTCAAATGACTCTCAAAATGAAGAATCTAGTGATGAAGCTATTAGTGAAATTGTTCAAATATATGAAATAAGAAATCCTGAATCAGCATCTCAAACATCAGCTTCTCCTGCAATTCAGCATAAATCACAAACAAAAAGTAGTTGTGTATGGAATCATTTCATTAAAAAGCTAAATGAAAAAGATGGATTATGTGCATATTGTCAGTTTGAAATGGAAAATGGGAAAAAATGCACAAAAAATTACAAGTATGATGGATCTACAGATAATTTAAGTAGTCATATTATTAAACATGGTCTCATACCACCTAGTAGTGCAGAAACTATCATTTCTGCTAAAATTAAATCAAAACCTGTATGAACTACTTAAAATAAGAATAAGCAAAAAGAAAAAGAAGAATCTACATTGCGATGGATTCTTTTAACAATACAACCACTTTCTACTGTAATATATAAAACCTTTATTGATTATATATATATTATGGATCCAAAATTTGTGGTTTTTGGGGAGAAAAAAATTAGAAAGATGATTACTTGCAGTTATGGATATAATAAAGATAGATTAATGCAATTTTTAAAATCTGCTCAATCCATTTCTTTAACTACTGATTTGTAATCCTTTCGTTCAAAACATGATTATTTGGGATTAACAGCAACTTGGATTAACCAAAATTTTGAAATAGTAGATATTTTGCTTGAGATAATTTATTTTTCAGCACCACATACTGCAAAAAGAATTGCACATATTATTAAAAAAATTATTAAAAAGTGGGAAATTGAAGATCAAGTAATAACAATAACAACTGATAATGGTGCCAATCAGTGTTGTACATTTTTGATGTCCAAAGCTTTTTTTGGTTGTCCCGGACATATCCGCACTCTGTCCGTACTCTTTTGTAACTTAAAAACTCAACAAAAATTATATATATTTATGTATAATTGGATGCTAAACATTTTTGCTAAGTATCGAACAAGGTTATTATAGAAAAATTTCGAGGGGTTATCATTTATTTTTTGTGTAATATATCTCAGACATTATCCCATGACAACACTGGTGCCAATGTAGTAGTAGCTATTCGTGAATTAGCACCAATTAAAAGGCTATCCTGTGCAGTATATACCTTACAATTGGCTATTAGAAAAGGATTAAAGCTTGTAGAAAATTTAGCTACACATACAAAACAGTTAATTAATTTTTTTTCAACTCAGAAACAAATTGAACGATTAATTAAAGTGCAGAAAGATAGTGGTTATGAAGAACAATTATATCTAATACAAGATATATCTACTAGGTAAATTTTTAAGTTTTAAATTTTATTATAATATTAATAATATTAATCTTAATTTTAATAATTTAAGGTGGAATTCTTCTTACCTAGTATGGGATCACCTTATCTTTCTTCAATATGCAATCCTTCAGCTTAATATAAACCTATCCTGCTCTTTTATATGTAAAGAAAAGGCTAATAGTATTAAGTCAAAGAAAATTATGTTAAATGATACTAGTGAATAGGAATTATTGGATGAATTATGTAATATTTTAGTATCATTTGAAAAGGCAACTCAAGATTTTTCTGGAAATACTTATGTAACATGAAGTCAAATAGTTCTTATTATTACAAATCTTATAAATTCTTTAGAAATAAGTAATTTGGATGAAGAAGATATTAATGATAAAACTATTAATTCTGATGATTTAGAAGAAAATTTAACTGATCATCAAATTAATTATGATAATATTAGAGAAGTATATGAAAATATTAAAAAAAAATATTTATAAAAGTTTGAAACATTATTGGGCAATACAGTCTAACCTCAATATACTGATATTTGATATACCGATATACTATTAAAAACTTGATATACCAATAAAATTTTATTTTCCTACTATATGTGATGACATATAAATTAAAGCTCTGAACGGTTCAGGTTAAACTGGAGAACCAATCCAAAACTGGCTCAAAATTCGGTTCAGTTCAGTTTGGGTATTAGAACTGAAAAACTGGCAGTTCAGTTCAGTTTAA